AAAACATTTATTTATAAAAGATCTGTAATTGTTGAGAAAAAAGAAATAGGTAAAGCATTAATATTGATATTGTAAGAGCTTTGAGTTCATTGATTTTCAAGAAACTAAACAAGGTCTGTCAATTATATCTTTATGGCATCTAGATAACACCTCTTCTAGATCACGTACAACCAAACGACCTATATATAATCATTCAAAATAGTTAATTATAATCCAAGACATATTAATACAAAGAAAAATACAATTCATTGACGATTTTCTGCTTCAAATTCTTGCATTGGATTATAATTGGGATTCTGGTGAAATACCGATTATGTCCACGCTACCATCACCTGGCGAGAGCCTAAAAATATTAATATACAAAAAAGTATAATGAGTATTGTGTCATACATCATTGTCAAGAACCATGGAAGAACATTCGCAGTCGTTTTGTAACTACGGCTATGATGTGCTTTCAATCCCATGATTCATGCATCCTGTTCACCGCTTCGCTCCCAGCGCAAGGACAAGGCATCGCTCAAAGTGTTGCAGCAGTAGGTTTCGGAAACGGAAAAGAACGTTCACCGCAAGCGATTCACGCCAAGTCTAAAGCTTACTACTTCAGATACATAACGACTTGACAAAAACTCGGTGGGATATTCATTTTACTCGATAACATTTCTACACCCACATATTTTGAAATTATAAAAATCTTGTTCAAACTTTTCACCTTATACGGCGGAAGAGGACATTTTTTAACATTTGCTTTTTAAAAAAAAAAACAATTCGATGTTGTTCCTTCTGATCAGCCAATAAAAATTAGTTGTAACTTTTTTCCTTTTATTTATATATAGACTTTTTTCTTTGTTTTCAAAAAAAGAAAAACGTCAATCATAAAACCTGTTTTATCTAACCATGCCTAGAAACCGTGGGTAATTTTTAAATTTTAAAAAATATATTATTATAATTTTTTTTTTCACAAAGAAAATGTATTAGTGCATAAATAAATCATGCATAGGAACATTTTTTGTTGCACAGCCCACAAATGTCGCATTAGATACCGGTTTATTACAGTTAGGTTTCTTTTTATTCTTGTCAAATTCATAGGCCTGATTGGCGCAGCAAATTTTATGAATTTATCGAATTATGCTATTATCGAAAGTCGTTCTTTAATTTCATGATATAAATTGACTTTAAAGATATTTTCTATAAAAGAATAAGAATTTCTATAAAAAAATTTATTATAATTATAGTTCTTCGCAAATTCTATGTTTTTCAAGAAAAGATAAATTGTTTTTTGTTGTTTTTTTTGTCAATTGAAATCCTATTATCATCTGTATTTTCTACGCTCAATTTGAAAACTCGAATTCACTTTTTTTTATGCTAAACAAGGGAAAAAATTTGAATTTACTAATTATATACGTAATAGCAATGTTTTAATGGTTACACGATCTATTAATTTTAGAACGAAATTTTTTTATAACTGGCATTGGTTCCTGGAAAAATTACGAATATAGGCGATTATGAATGGGACTTGGTTTGAACATATAATTTCACTTCCACTAAAGTGAATTTTTTAATATTGTGTTCATTCATAATCATACTATCATTATATTATTAAATTTATAATGAATTTTCTTTATTAAAAATATACAGAGTAGATAGAAATCAAAAGGTTAAAAAAATTATTCTTCATAGGGGATTGGTAAAAATCATTATAAAAAAAAATCAAAAAATAAGAGTGAAAGATTCATTTTTGTATGTGAATAGTTTTTTTTTTCAGATAATGATTAATTTTATTAAAAAAATTTTTTTTTGAGGTTTAAAAAATGTATATAGTTTTTTGTAATAAAATAACATTTTTTCAATTTATGATCATATATATATTATTATTATGTTCGTTTTGTTTATATATATATGTAAAAATTATAATTACAGTCGAACCCTCGTTTCAACGGATTTTTGGTTTTACCCCTTGATTTTATTAATTAAAAAATTCTCGTTTCAACGGATTTTATATTTAAATCGCGTTTCAACGGACAACGGATTTTTTGGTAGTATTTTAGTAACAAGTACTAATACTAATCGCGTTACAACGGATTCACGTGATATAAATTTTATAAAAAAAAAAACACTATGTTAAGATTAATTCATTGCTAAATAATAATATGAATAATTCTCACATTACTATTACTAAATAATAATATTAATCAAAATTTTCCATATTTCTAAATAATGATTTTACACAAATAATTAAACACACATTACTAAATAATAATATTAATCAAATTTTTCATATTTCTAAATAATGATTTTACACAAATAATTAAACACACATTACTAAATAATAATATTAATCAAATTTTCCATATTTCTAAATTGATAATAAATAAATATCTTCTAATAATTCTACATAATCAACATTTTCTTTGATTTCTTTAAATTAATAAATCTCTAAATTCTACAAAATTAAATGTCTCAACAACTATCTTCTTTTTCCAAAAATGTGAAAAAGCTTTTGAAACTGCTTTTAATTTTCTTGAACAAAATAATATACAAGTATAGTTGGCACCAAAAATACAAATGGGAAAACTGTAAATGAAAATAAAATAAAAGTTGCCGTAATTAAATTCTGTAAATAATTTTGGCTACCGTAAATAATTTTGGCACCATAAATAATTTTGGCACCGTAAATAATTTTGGCACTGTAAATAATTTTGACTACTGTAAATAATTTTGGCTACAGTGGATGACAGCAAAAACCATCAAGTGATACAAGGAGTGTGGCAAATTTTGAGATTTTAAAATATATCACATGTACAGGTTTAGCCAGTAAAATTTAAGAAAATTAATCAATTTAGTAAAACATTAATTCTATTCATGACATCCTCATTAATTCTTTTGTGTGATTTGTTATTTTTTACTGCATATTCTGCAGCTTTTCCAGATAATCCATGCCTGTAAGCATCCATCGATCTTCAAGATAATCTAGCATATGCTCTAATCTGTTCAACTGAAATAGAATCAAATGCTAATGGTAAATTAGTTTTTAATGAACTTAAAGTATACTCACAATTTTCACGGGTAAACTTTTTTGCAGTCCCCCAAAACATTTCAATATAATTAAGTTCTGGGTGGAATTTTGGATAAAATATAATCTGTTCATTGTAAAACTTCTTTTAGTCAATTTGGAATAAAAAGAACCAATTAATAAATAAATAATAAGTTATACCTTATAGAGGTTGGAATCATCCAAAAAATCCTTAGTCAACTATTAGTTGGTCAAAATTTCTTTTAGTCAACTATTTAGTTGACTAAATTTTTTTAATACTAGTGCCCTATAAAAAATAATATACGGTAAAACAGTACATGAACCGTACATTTTTCATACATTTTCCGTACCAAATTTTTTATAGGGGTGTGTAACTATTTGCTTCGCAAAATAGTCACACACTAGTCACGGGAATAACATCCTATTTAATTAGAATATTCATTCTGTTTCATTATTATTAACGTTTTTTT